TTTATGTGTGGTCAAACTTGTCTGACCTAGAAACACTAACTAAGGGGGGCAGGACTTAATATTAGTCAATTGTTGAAACTAATTACAGGCATGTTGTGAGCTCTCCTCCGCACTAAAGGAACCTATTTACAGTAAATTATGGTCATCAGTGTCCTTGTGCAAGACGACACCACTTGTTGGTGTGCAAAAAAAAAGGTGAAAATTAATTTAAATGGATTCATTCTTGCAAAAAAAAAAAAAGAAGAAGAAACCTGGGTACATCAGTAGAACTGCAAAATGACAAACTCTTTTTACATTCCCATCAGGCCAGCTAAAGGGGCTCTGTAGCAGCGGGAATCATGGCAAGCAATGGGAATTTGAAACAACTTAATTGGGGAGAAAATGAGGAGAAAATCTCAACCAATCAAATAATATTTTTATTTTGTGGATAGTCGCACAGTAGGGGCTGATTTGAATCTGATGATGATGCAGTGCGCTGTTTGTTTGATTTTTACACACTTCCACACATCATTTTGCTCAAACCTACCAACATTTGTGCCATGATTTCAGACACTCCTCAGCTTCCTTTGTGAGTTTCTAAAGCCCAATCCATGTAATATTTCAGAGCCTCACAAACTTCAACCCTCTGTAGAAAGTCGTAACCAAACCTTAACAAAGTAGGACATGCATGGACATACAGCCTTTGATCAATACTGACTGGCAAGCCTTGTTCCTTCCTCTTCCCATTACCATTTCTCTTTCTACCTGCTTCCTCCTATCACTCACATGTCCACTCAACTCCCTCCCCATAGCTCAGAGAGGAGATGTGGACTTAGCGCTCAGGAAAGGACAAAGACACCTTGTCACCTGGCGTAATGAAGGACTAATGAGCTGTTCAGACCAGCTGTAGTGTTTGCGGCTTTAGCTCTGCTGTTATTTCCCACTGCTGGTGGAGGGATGTTGCTGTTAGTGTGACACTGCCGACTTTAGTGTAAAGGGCACATTACTACTGTCAAGCTTCACTGACCACCTCATCTCAGTAAGCAGCGCTGGATTCAGCAGACTAATACCAGGTTGTTGGTTGGGGGCAACAGCTGAGGCTTGTACTTATCCCGCATTTGACACAGAACGACAAGCGTTAACATGTTTGGTCTTAGATGTGAGTTGATATTCATGCGAAAACATTGTTTTCTTCCAAATCTTAAATGATTTAAAACACACTTTCAGGCACTTTTTTTCTTGTGTATCCCAGCCAAATGGGACTATATATGTACATTTAGCTTCCCACAGTGCCTTCCAGGTGGTTTCAAACATATGGTGAGCAAGATGGCATCTAACAATTGCAGCGTGTCAGCCATTGATTAGCTGGAAGTCCCGTTCAGAGCCACCACGCTTGATAATGATTAATGTGATAATTATGCAGCATATACAGCGCAGTGGGGCCGTGTTTTTCTTTACCAACTTGTCAACTTATTTGAATTGCAATGGGTTATTGAAGGTGAAATTTGCCTTTTTATTATGGATATCTAATTTTTTGATGGCTGCACTTGAAAAATGAAGAGATGCATTGCACATCCTTTCCCTGGCGGAGCAGGCACCCACTGCTGAGGAGTCAATTAAAAGAGAAAACACATCAAAGGCTTCTCTCCTTTTCCCTAATTTCAAACAAAGGAGGACCCACTGGCAAGGGCACACAAACAGGTGGTAATCCCTGTCCGCCGGTGCACTGGGGTTGGGGTGCCGGTGGTTGGGGGGGAGGGGGTTGCATTCTCATCTTCGCTCACCCGTGCTCACTGACTAATTGCCCAGCCTCATGCAACTTGTGCATTGACAGTGATATGAGTTCCAAGATGATGCCCAAACCAACCCTTGTCACGCCTTGGACCGCAGGGGCTGCATGTGTTTCCATGATAAGGCTCATTGCATTTATTTCAAGCTACTCATTAAGACTATGTGCCTGAAACTCTCCTTTTCCCATTGTGCTCTTAAAAAGATAGAAGCCAGGGGAATGATGCAAAAATATGCCCCGTGTGTCAGGGACTCTGTAAATTACAAAATTAGGAGGCACAGTTAGAGTTTATTTACAGAGAAGCAAGTGTGGAGCAACGACTGAATGCAAGATTCAAGGGAGTGTCTGCTGACCTCCGCGTGTCATGATATAATCATGACAGCTCTCTTGTAATGTTTTGACATGAATGAACACAACTTTGAAGTGGCTGTCACAGTAATTGGCATACCAATTAAAAGCTGTTATCAATGTGTGTCCTATTATGAAGCACGACACAGTCAGAACAGTCATGACTTCCCTTTGTTGCTTTAATTTGTGTGTGTTTGATTCATTTACATAAAGTGTTTCCTTTCTCCTCGTCTACCTTTTTTTCTAATCTTTCACTCTTTAATTCTTCTTCCCTTTGTTTGTGGATTTTATAGTTTTAAGGATAAATCATTGTGATGTTGCTAAACTCCGTACAGAATGGTGGGCTAAAATATTAAAGACCAAAGCTATTTTTGAAAATAAAAATTGCATGGAGAAAAATCCCCCCAAAACGTCTGGTTTGTTTAAAGGACCAGAAGAAGATTCCAGAGAGAGCTAACCTTTCATTTTTAGAAATGATTCATTTTCCATCATGGAAATAATGTCCTTTGTCGACGATGTGGGTGATTGCATTTCTTCCCATGTAGCTGTTATTCATCAGAGAAAGTTACAGGGTTTGATATAGGAGAAAAATATAGAAAGAGATATTTCTATAAACAAATGATTGGCTCTTGGTCAAGAGATGTGTGCACATTGTCCTGTAACTGTGGGTTCGGTGAAGCATTTCTTAAAAAAAAAATGAAAAGCTCAACATTTGTTTGTTGAGAGAATCCTGTGTTTGCTCAGTATAAAGAGCAATGTGGTGGTGATATATGGACTGAACCGTCCATGCATACATTTAGGATGAAACAATATGAATATATAGTCCTGAGAATTCTATCTGAAAAGCAAAGATCCTTGTGTGCAGCTGAGATCTGGTATTTTACCGCTGGTTGCTGAAACTGGACAGCGTGTCACTCTGAAAGAAGTAAAGAGGATGTGCTGTTTGACTGATAAAGAAAATGATTATCTCCTATCTCCCTTTGACTGGGAACTGTGCAGTGCTTTGTTTAGTCCGATAAAAGTTTATATTGATTTTGTAAATATGGATGATGCTCAGAGATTGAGCTGGCTGTTTAAATATGAAACATTTAGTTTAGCTTGTTACGCTGAGAAAGCCCGGGAGATGAGGGAAAACAGCTCTATCAGGATAAACTGCAGGTATGTAGCAGGTACTGTCAGTTTACAGGTGATTTAAAATATATTATTTCAAATTAGTCATTTAAAAGCATATAGATGAACTTAATCTACCGGTACCTACCGGACTGAATCACAACGCAGATTTTGGTGCCTCATTTCAGTGCCAGATTGTTTATCTAGCAAGTTTGCAATTAAATGAGCCCAGAGAGCTAGTGTGTGTGTGTGACGGTGACATGTACCAGAGAGGCTGTGGTGACTGGAGCAGAGAATATGAAGTTAAAGTAGCAGTGAAAATTTAGTCCAGGGGTCTCTTAATGTTTTTCAGGCCAATTTACCCTTAGCTCAAGAAAACAGAGCAGGGACCCTCTACGTCATATATCGCACAAAATTGAGTTTATTTCTGAGGTGGACGGTGTGTAAGTCTCCTACTCCAAACAAAACAGTCCATTGTGACTCACAAGAATGTCTGCACATTTGAAATAATAACAATAGGGCTAATTGGTCAGTATGTTTCAGTAGTACGAAACAGTTGGCTATTAGTTCAACTTGACGTTATGGATAAGTGCCGCACAGTGATGTAGCGTTTGCTAGCTCACATTATTGCACAAGGATTTATGGGTAGCAGTTAGCCTGTTATTAATTTTGCTTAAGGCCACTGTGAATTACATGTTTTTCTTTTTTTATGAATAGACCTATTTATCTTTGCTAATATGTTTGATTCATGTGAATGTGTATTCTCAGACTTATTCTAAATTTAAAAAAAAAAAATACATTGAAATTAAAGTTCAAATATCAAACAGTAATTTGCCCCCCTGCAGTAACTCTGAGGACCCCCTGTTGAAGACCCAGGGTTAAGGCTATATGTTAGTTAATAAGTGTTACACCTCATCGAGACACGTTCCCGTGTCCTGCTTGCCACTTGCTGATTAAAGCGAAGGAAGTTACACCCAAACTTAACAAGTCAAGTTAGCACTCACTCACTTAAGGTGGACTGTTAAGGTGAACCATGGTCATTTTAGTGACAATCGCAGCCGCTCCTGAACAGATCATGGAGAAATGTCTTGCTTCTGAGACTCTCCTGAGTTAGGAAGAATATTAATTGATCCCGACTCAAATTTTATTTTTCTGTATTTAGTACTTTAACCATATATAGATTTATACTCTATCCCTAAGAGCTTATGCTGGTACAGGGTCGCAGGTGGGCTGTAGCCTGTCCCAGGTGACACTGGGTGAGAGGCGGGATACACTGGACTGGACAGATTGCCAGATTGTCACAGAGCTGACACACAGAGACAGACGACCATACACAAAATTTAGTGTGTTTGGAGCGTGGGCGGAAGCTGCAAAACCCACACAGAAGTGCCTCCGCTGGCCTGTGGTTTTGAATCTGGAGGGAGGCGACAGTTACATATTTATGGTTTGATTAATTATGTGAATTTGCTATTATAATTTGTTAATACTGTTTTGTTTTTATTCATATTTATATATTTAAGTATACTTAGAACTGTGAAGAGTAAATATATTCTTCAATTTCAGGTTCAAATATACCTTTGCATTTAAAAAATCACTCTTTATCTTTTCTAAAATATCGGTTCAGGCACTGTTTAGGCACAAATACTGTTTTAAAATTTTTAGCACTGGTGTCAGAAAAAAACCCAGACAGTGCACAACCCTACCTGTCCACACTTGGCATGAACAGAAATCAAAAATATAAAAAACTATAACAGTATTATCATTTCCATTACAGAAATTTGAAGTTCACCCAGATCCAATGGTGAGCGTTGCACACATGGCCTGTGCAGGTGGAGGGGTGTGGATGGCATTCTCCGAGGGCTCCTCCATTCGTCTCTTTCACACTGAAACACTGGAGCTTCTGCAGGAAATCAACATCTCAACACGCTCGACGCTGCTGAACACTGGTACACACACATCACATGTGGTCTCGACCTCCATTTATCGAGGTCACCCTGTATCCTCCAGAGCACCTGAAACACTTTTTGTGTCTCTATGTGTGTGTGTGTGTGTGTCTGTGTGTGTGTGTGTGTGTGTGTGTGTGTGTATAAAAAAAAGAACGAAAAAGAACTACCGTTGTTTTTCTTTGTCACATTTATTGTTTCAAAATTTCACCACAGAGTTTCATTTTATTCATACTCGTCATATTTTTGTCTTTATCATACAAGAGCAATTAGAGGGCACCAATTTAACACTGATGGTGCTCTCCTTCACAGAATGGTATTCTTGTCTTGTCCAAGTCGCTCCTTGGGTCTTGCACTCCGGGGACTGACCTGAATAAGTATCCATCTCAGGCCCTTGCAAAGCCATAATAAAGCCACTGGGTGAGAGATAGGGATTAATAAAAAAGAAATAAAGTCATTTAGGAGCAGTCAACTGGCAGCCTTTAAGATTTTCATACTAAGGGTTCCCATGGAAACGCTCTTGTCTCCCTTTAAACGTCCACGCTTCTGTGCTATCATGCCCGTTTTACCTCGTTTTTCTCTGCATGTACCTCCTCACTTTCCTTCCTTTTCAGTTAATATTTCCCTTTCTTTTTGTCCCACTTTCTCCCTCTCACTCCCCGTTTCATCTCATCCGCTCTGCTTTAAAATCCTCTCACCCCCCGTCTCACTTCTCTCTGCAGTCCGTTTAGGATGCCACAGATAGCCCATTACTTCCTGTGTGCCTTCCTTCATGATGGATGAAATATTTATCAGCCAGTGTGGGTGTTTTCCTCTTCTTTGAGGAAAGAACTATGGTAAACAAATTAGCAATGAAGCATACCTAAAAGTGTCTAATGGTGATAACTACACTGCATGTGACTCAATGTCAGCTCGCCTCAGACATGTCTACGCTGCGGCACGTGAGCCATCAGCTCATTCATTCAGTACATGTGAAGATCATTTTGAGCTCCGGGGAGTGGTATAAATGCATCTGGATTTAGAAAAATTTCGTCCTTTTCGTTGAGTCACACCAGACTGTGATTGATGTATTTAGAGCAATACTCAAAGCTGTGGTAGCACTTCATCTCATCAGAAAAAAAAAAAAAAGATTTTCTCTTGTGTGTTGAGTAAAGAGCAAAGAATAAAAACAGGAATGTGTTTCATATACCAAACTTTTCTCTTTTAGATCAAAGTTCCTTTCTTTTTTCATTCAAGGGGAGATTTAAAGAAGAGCAGACTCCTATGGCTGTGGTATCAGGAGAGAACCGGTGACCCAGAGGTCATTTTCACCCAGCACCAGTGCTTCCCCTTGAAATATGCAGCAGATTCGAGGGAGGGTGGCAGCCTCGAGGCTTGGCCCTGGGGGGAGTTACACGGCGAAAAGAAAAGGAGTTGCTCGGCTCATGTCTTCAGGGTCCGCAAAAGGAAGAGGATCTTTGACTTAAGTTGTGATTTGTTGCGCTCACAAGAGAAAAGAGGATCCCCCCCGACACTCTACAACCACAGATACTGCACATGAAATACTGATAGTTTCTCTCTATCAATGGGGTCTGCGCTCCCCTAGGTTTCTCCTTGACTTATGCTAGGACATGCAGTAATGATATACCCCCTAATCCTTTCCCCTTAATGTGATTTATACTCAACAGGGAATTCCAGTTGCAGTAAACAACAGAGAAGTTTCTGAGGCAGAGGAAACTGCTGATCTCTCCTCTAACTAATGCCTTTAATAGTTCTATCCTTAGGGTGAAAAAATAATATTCCAAAATAAAGTCCTCAGTGACATATCACAGGGAAACATTTATCTTTGGAGACATCTTCTTTTTTAAGGCAAATACCGGCTTCAACGATAAACCCACTACACACTCAAGAGCGTGTGTATTACTGCAAAAATTGGAGGTGCAAGATTGCTCGAGGTTAAGCTATACCTCCTTAATCTCAAGTGCCTTTGTCATTATCCCTCTTTATCACTGTTCTTAAAGACAATGCCTGGCGCCCACATCTTCCGACTTAACTTCAGATTTCATGGTAACCCGAGAGTGGGTGTTCATGAGCATCACTCTCTCAGTTAAACTCTCTAACTGCAGTACAAATAGGCTCTGAGGCGATGTGAGCAGGTGGCAGACAGTTTTGAGATAAAGGCCGTTCTTTGCCGCCGCTGTGACCCTCCAAGGTCTCCACCTAAAGGCGTCTGCTCTCTGTTTGCTGAATGTGCTCCGCCGCTCCGCCTTCACTTCCTCTTCCGCGCTCAGCATCAGCTTCCTACTTGGAATGATTCATCTCTGCACAGCGAAATGAATTAATTAATGACACCGTTGAGCCACTCGTGCAAATCATCATAATCTGAGCATGACACAGAACAAACATGTAAATACAGCTACCCATGTAAATTAGCGTTCTTTTAGTCCCCATCACATGAGTGCTGGTGTAATTCAATTACGGTTGCCATGGATATTATGGTAAATGGTTCTATAGATAACTAGGCCACAATGGGAGCCAAGAGCTGAGGGACCACAGAAGGAATGCAAAAATAAATCCACAACAAACAATGTTTTTCACTCCTTTGTTAAGTGGAAACAAAGGATGTGCATGTATAATAAGAGTCTGCAATTATCCTCTCCCAGTCACTAATGCAGTGCTGCGAAAACACTGGAAAACTTCACAGCAGAAAAACTTATGTTGCATCATGCTCTATCACAGGAGGAAAATATGTACCTTTATCCAAAGAAAATCTCTGCCTAAGCTCCCCTCCAGGATTATCAGCACACTCTATAAGGGAAAAGAAAATAACTCTGAATTACTTCATTCATCTCATTAACAGAGAAGCGCAATAAGAACCAACAGCAGCCTGCTACATGTCATCGGATCTGATTAGCTACGCACAAGAATAAACAAACAAACCTTACAAACAAATGAATGTTTGTCCATGTTTGCATGTGATGCATACCAGTTGGTCGACCTCTGAAAGTAACAATGTGATCGCAAAATATTATATCAAATATGTTAATTATTTAAGTACATACACTGCTGTCTACTTTTTAAATAAGTCAATGTTAAAAGTTAATGCCACTACAGACAGCCGTGTAGTGCTTTGTTTGAAAGATGAGTCATAGACTCATAATGTGCAAATATGATGAGATAGAGGCACTCTCTGAAATTAAATTGTTGACCTCAAAGTTAAAACTCTGAATGTTATTGACAGTGCAAGTCTTTCTGCTCCAGTGTGTCTGATATCCTGTTGGGATACGTAACCTTAAGGCTTGTTGTTAGAGTGTCGTCTGGGTCCAAGTCAAGTGTAAATGTGTGTTCAGACGAGGGGTGTCGCAGTATATTTGTATTGATGATAACTCAGATATTATAAAAAAATAAAACAGTGATGTTATGTTAATAGTACACACGATAATATCGTGTAAAAAAAATCCAGCGCCACATAATTTCCATTTTTTCACTCTTATCTTATCTTATCTTATCTTATCTTTATCTTATCTTATCTTAATTTGTCTAGTTTCTCCACACCCTTACACTTATACTTTAAATGTGGCTCATAAAAAAAGACAGTTAACAAAGTTAAAGATGAATTTGACAGATAACATTAATAAGACATCGCAATAATGTTATTGTGAATTCTTTTGGCCACAAAACTCAGGTCCCGAAAATCTAATATTGTGCCAGCCCTAGTTCACACCAAAGGCAAAGTGAATTTTTCTCTCGGTCATTTACACGAATACGGCCGCAAAGTATTCCAGTATAGTCAGCTTTGCTCGCGGTCGAGCTAACTAACTGGGGAATGCAGCTAACACTCATGTTGGAGCTAACTTTGTTGGTAGCGAAGTACAACTGATTAGCTGGAATCAAGAAAAAAATACATATTTTCACCCACTTTTCTCTGAGCCTTCACCTTTTTTGGTTCAGTCTCTGTATAGTACTGATGTTGAGTTGAGGAGCACGCAGTGCCCACAGACAGCCACAATAAGTCTCTGTGACATCTGGAGAATTTAAACACCGATAGACTTTTGCTACACAGCTTTACACAATTATTTTGCTCAAGTTAAAACATTTCAACTTTCATATTCGCATGTATCCAGGACTGGCATTGACTTTGTATCTACTAGTGTCGCATTAAAAAATTAAATTTGATTGCATTACCATTCTCCCTCAGCAGCTCTCTCTACCTGGGAAAGGCTACCCCGATGTGGGCCTTCGTTTTTTTTAATTCGCCGGTCATGCTGCCTTTTCTATTCCCTTTTGCGCTTTCTTGGCGACAAGGATTCTGTCTCCCATGATGCTGCATATGCATGATCCTGCATTATGCTCAAAGAGTGGGACTTTGTTTCAAATTTGCCAGGGTAGTAGCGAAGCGCCTCTTGCTCCTCTCCTTCGGCTCCTCAGTCACGCAGTGCTGGCCTGGCTGTCAATGAAAACGCCGAAGGCGGTGCTGTATGTCCCTTGCTGGCGGGTGTATTCTCAAGATGGCGAAACGTAATGGAACCCCACAGACGACTTACCCGCACAATGTACAAACAAATCCGAAATTCTCCTTTTACAAGAATAAGTCAGATTATTGGTGGAGGTAATAGTACACCAGTGATGACATATTTATGAATGCAGACATCAATTTTTGCCAATAAACAACTGAAAATGTTACACAGTGTCCCTTTAAGTATTTAGTATTAGAACTAGGGATGAAAATCTCCAGGCGCTTTATGATTCGATTCAATTAGGATTCAGAGGGCAATGATTTGATTATGAAAGGATTATCGATGCATCAGTATGCATCAAAATATTTGCTTTCTATACGTGATTTATTTTTCTGACCGTGTGACCACTTGCTACTTTTAAAACAAAGCATACTGCATTTGTAATGACCCAAAACTGTACTGTAAAATTTCACCAGAAATGGGATGCAATTCACGTAATGTTGAATTATAAATGGTCTTCAGCCTTTTCACTTTAAAAAGTTAACTTAAGTAATTAATTAATTAATTAATTTAAAAGCACCTTACAATTTCTTGCCTGTATGATAATAACAGTATGAGGGGCAGGCGACACGCTCCGCTGTGTTATTAGCGTCTCCTGCAGTAGAGAGCAGCTTCTCCACTGCGCTGTTTGCTCCTGGGAAACCCAAGACGCTGAGCAGACTGGACGCAGGGTTTTTGAAGTAAAACAGACTGAGCAGAGAGTTATTTTCATCACCGAGTTGAGTTTAATACTGCAGTCTGTTGGTCAGCAGGTGTTGTTTGTTAACGTTACTGCTGATCGCTGCTTTGCTACATTAATGTTAGTCTCTGGTTAATGGCTTAGAAAGTATTTACAACATACTTTACGTTCATCTGGCAAATGTAATTATTTAAACATGAAATTAAAACATGTTTGCAGCCGCTGCCTTTTGTGAAGTTGAATTACAAGTTCAGCTTGTCCAGCTGTAGACTGTCCGAGTGCTCCTCTGCCCTTGCCCTTGAGTTTGGCCTCTTTCGTTCCGTCAACATCACCTTATTAATAAACATTCAGGAAATTAACTGTTGACATTCAAGAATCAATGCTGAATCGTCAATATCAGCATCACAATACATCTGAGAATCGATTTTTTCCCCACCTTTAATCAAAACTCTTGAAAAGAAAAATAATATTAATTATTTGTATTTAAACAAAGTCTTATTACCAAAGATTATTGTTCTCAGTATTGTAAGGTTCTGTCTAATTTACTGGAAGACTGTGTGGAGCCACTATAATCGTCAGTTGTTCTGGAAGTTTAGACCTGATTGAAGTTTTGTGTTTATCAGTAGTTGTCTAGGAAACTAGAACTAGACTCCCTTTAGAAATCATAAGGTTGAGGTCTGTTTTTATCAACCAGAAGGATTGAAAGCCCCTGTGTGTGTGTGTGTGTGTGTGTGTGTGTGTGTGTGTGCGCGCGCGCCATGGGCACGTCGAGTCTTACTCACTTGGAATATTTATAATGTCTGTACTTAGAGTACCTTCAGGATGTCTGTCATTTTACCAATAAAAGAGAATTCCCTGCCTATCAGTTTTGCTATTACAGTGGGAGGTGAAAACTTTGAAGCTCAATATTTCAAAACCACCCAGATATCAAGCAGAGAGATACAACGCCAGCTTCACAGTGTTGTTTCCTACTTTGTGCCTCCACAAGTTTTCTTTCAACTGGGTCAGTAGCAAGTAGACAAATCCAATTTTTTATAATCTTATGTAACCCAGAGCCCTAGGTGGCTGTGCTGTGCATGTGTTGAGCTTGTCAAATACAGATTGATCACAGAGCTTAAACCCCACCCAAAGCTAACAGTGATAGCCAACAATCAAAGTATTTTTCGCTGTTTCCATCACGCTAGGACCGAACAGCTTCCAAAATACAGTGTTTTGCACAACCTCCTGGAAAAAAAAAATCAATGGGAGTTCATAATTGACTCTCTGAAAGATAGGCAGACCATGCAATCTGTAGAAGATGTATCTTTTGGTCAACACGGAGTCATCTATTATTATTTTTTCTAAAAGCTCCATAATCTGTTGTCGTTTTGTGCTATCTGTAATTCTATAAGAGCAGGTGCTGGAGAAAACTGGAATCAATTTTGTGTCATTGTTTTCTATATTGCAGGTCAAAAGAGCATGAGAGTCACGAGTCTGCTGATTTGCCAGGGGCTGTTATGGGTGGGCACCGCCCAGGGCTTAATTATCACTCTTCCAGTTCCCAAACTGGAGGGCATCCCCAAAATAACAGGTATGGATCAGACGGGGCGGCAGACTGTGATTGAACAGCCTCTAGAGAGGTCAAACAGAAAAGCAAAGAAGTTATTTTCATGATAGAAAATTACTCTGCACTGCCCATTATTGAGGTCACACTTCACATTTTTCTTGTGGCTCTGGGAATCGGTGCAAATATTACCAGGCACGCAACACACAAATCATACTACACACACACACACATATATATACATATATATATATATATTGTTGCAGGGTAATTTAAAAACTGCCTGCCAGCGTTTTGTTAATTATGCCAAGTGAATGAGGTCGTTAGTTTCCCACTTCCACAAACCTTATACCTTTCCAAGCTAGTTTATTGGAATTGTATAAACCAACTGCAAACTATAGCGATCATTATTACTGTTACAGCAGGATTACAATGAAAAAATACAGTCAGCTGACATTCAGTGTGATCAAGGGTTCAAGTCATTTCCAGCTCACACATTTCAAACTGTGACTTGCATATAAGTGATGGGACTGACAATGACTTGGGCCCAATCCAATTTCATATTCTCACCTCTTGTTTTCAAGTGCCACATTGCCCCTAAGGACCAAGTTACAAGGGGCAGTGGTTAAAAATGTCCCTTATGACCTGGCACAAACCCTTCAAGACCCTGATACATCTTCAGTATGCTAATGTTTATGTGAACAGATGCACAAGTGCGGGACATTGCAAATACGCTGTCTTCTACAGTAGTGATTTCTCTTGTGTGAGCTACAGGCAGCTTTTTGCTGTTTTCAGGAACCTTGTGATTCTTTCACGACTTAAGTTTTATGCTATCAATCAGTCAATGACGTCATCAAATAAAAAAGATCACTGCTTTATTCTGAGGCAACTAGCTGTGCTCTGTAGGCTAACATTAGCAACCCATCCTGCCCTGCAAGTCTGCACTGTGCTAAAGGAATAAAAACAAGAGGAGCAACTTTGCTGCTAGACTTAAGTTAAATTTCGGGCGACCAATGCCATCAAATGAAGGGGAACGCAACAGGGAAATATGTCCCAATGCAGGACAGTCATGCTCAAATCAGCAATGACAGTGTCATGTTAGCTAGCTAGCACGTTAGCTACCAAAACATCTGCAAACTAGGGATTTCTTTTGTTATGCTTGTTGTTGAAAAAGGACCTAAATGCATTGCATTAAACTAAGACAATGCAACGGTTATTATTTTAATCTTTTTTAACAAAGAAAATATATTTTAGAGTTTCTTTTGTTGCTCTTGCAGCCAACAAGAATTGGGACACCCTCGCTTTACACATAAACGTGCAAAATGGAGGGGTAAGCGGTGTATTGGGATATGGCTTTGTACTTTGACATTATACTATTCTGTCTGCCTCCTACAGGAAAGGGAATGGTCTCTCTCAACGCCCACTGTGGACCAGTGGACTTCCTGGTAGCCACCACCAGCACTCTGTCTCCTGATCTGCTGAAGAGGGACTCTGTCGGGGACGGCCCAGACTCTGCCTTTGGAGGCGAGGACCGCAGCAACACGTCCTCTCAGGAATCCCTGCAACAGTCCTACCAGGAAGACAGCAGAGGCAAAGGACGCGGTGTTCTGCTGCAGTACAAGCTGCGCTCCACATCAGGGCTTCCTGGACGGCCGCTGACGGCGCAGGGTGACGAGGCGTCGGACTCCTCCCTGGAGTCTTTGGAGCACAGCGTGGAAGATGGATCTATCTATGAGCTCAGTGATGACCCAGAAATGTGGGTTCGGGGACGTCCTTGTGAGAGGGACGGGGGACGCAGGGACAGGGTGATCTCTGCAGCGGTTATCTCTGGAGGCAAAGGCTTCCGTAGACTGAAGGAAGGAGCAGCAGCAGCAGGTACTAGGACAAGTGGGGAGGGCTTAGAGAATATTCTAATGGTTTGGCAGCTTCCACTGACAGTGTGATATGGAAAATATATGGTAAGGTGATGGGTATTTGTAGATGTCTACCCAGCTCAGCCTTGAATCAACCGTTCCATAAATTTAAGGGATTTAAATAAACATGTATGATGTGAAGGCGTTGCCACTGTTACGGAGCTTGACATGTTATGATTTGGCTTGTGGAATAAGGAAGCTAAGATGTGCTGGTTACAGAGGTACTGTCAGCCCATAGGACGCTCTGAATGTTCAGGATTGTGCGTCATCATCTCCTCAGCAGTGGCAGAGAACGCCACAGATTAGTTCCGTGCTCCGATTGTTTTGATCTGGCCCCTCTTCCCACCTTCGTTAAGATTGATATGCCTCAATTTAACCTCATCATTGCAGCGTGGGCTCTGCCACATTTATTTTATGCGAAGGACTTGTGTGTGAGCGGCCATGGACAGCACACCTTTCAGAGACAGCCTTTGCTGAATCTGCCATGCTCTGCAGAGTTAGAGATGGACATCTTTTATCTGATCCTGTGGGAGAGATCCCATCTGTTTAGAGCTGAAAGCTGGGGACTTCCACCACATCACAAAGCACATTAGCATCACTTTATTAGCTTTGCCAGCCTTCCTCTCATCCCATACAATGTGAATGTACGATACCTTCTATTGTGTCTCGAAATTGAATCTGTGCTCTCTTGAAAAAAAAAAAAAAAAAGATTCCATTCCTCCTGTTTTGTTGCAGCTGTTGCAGAAATGATTTTTGGTTACGAAAAATGAGTTGCCTCCAAGAGCTTACTATGCCTTTATAATGGGCGGTCACGGTAGAGCAGGCTAGCTGCAATACTGTTGTAAAAACAACTAATTTGGAAAACAAAACTTACAGCAGTCAGAGATGTTATTGCTCTACATTACAGAATCTATATTTGTGCTGTAAATATCCTGTAATTATTACAATTTTTTTTGAGGAAAAGGAACTTCTTGGTTCCACATTTTAGAGAATTATCTTCCCCAAGTACTGTAAACGCCAGGTATCAGTTTCATTATTCACTGTCATTCATCAGAGATAAAACAAATGCACCCACAGAGTTGTTACACAGTTCACATTAGCTGGAAACTCCAGTTACACATCAAAAGCAAAACGCAAACAAACGGATGATGAAATAAAAGAGCAGCAGCCGACAGACAGAACCTGAGAGTAACACCAATGAGCATGTTTACATGCACATTAAATTTCAATAATATACAATCTGATTCTGATGACAGATGGTGTTTGAAAATACACAGCATATGCATCTGTATTACAATTACAGTAAGAGGCACTGATATATATCATCTCTGATATTAGCAAAGGACTAGATGACTCTGCAAGGTCGTGTTTTATTTGCTCTGGCAGATGTGTCTGGTTCCCCTCTCGGTCAAGCAGATTTCCAGCAGACCTGGCCGTGGTCGGGCCAAACACAACCGTTTATCTTATGAAGTGCGTGTTTCAGACAATGACTCACAACCTGGTGTCTTTGTGCTTTAAGTAAAATATGTTATGACTTCATTTTTGGCTAGCGCACCCCAGTGACACCACAGTGAGCATCAACCTAACTTCGGCTGGCTCACACTAAAAGATTTTTCAAATCTTCATAGATCGTAAAAATGTGACAGACCCCAAAAATAACGATATGTAATGATAAATCTAACAGTTGTGTTGTTATAGTGCGTGGCACGAAACAAACATGGCAGATGAAGGGCAGGAAGAACTAGCGGTTCGTTTTTGCACTACTTTTTTAAAAAAAATTAATGAAGAAAAAAATGTAAAAAATATGAATGAAGTCGAGGAGACGGCGTGAACATGGACTGTACATGTTACAGCAAGAGAAAGTGAGTAAATTCTGAGTTGATTAATTAAAAGTATTAAAACTCTCCAAGAGTTGCAGGACTGCCTGCGATCCTCAGTGTTCCCCCCCTCACGACAGGTTATCGGATTGTAAATACTGAACATGTTTATTGTTGGTCTTTTGAAATCGGTGCTCCAACATGGACTTCCGAGCAGATTGAGGGGATATAAAAAACACTCCTAGTTCAGTTTGGAAAGCAGCAGCGCGCACTGGATGTCATTTGACGAGCACAAACCAATCACAGCCAACAGATCTTTCTCTTCTTCCGCTAATATCAGTCAATAAATAAGGAACAGTTGATCATGTTAGTGCAGGGCTGCCAGAGCTTTACATCTGTCCCATGGACGATAGGCCTACATATTTATAAACAGGACCTGGAAGATGATCAGCTCTGCACTCAGGATTTCAGGTATATGGGCTATGATATGGTGCTTGATAAGCAGTGCCCAACCTCGCGTTTTCCAGGCAGTCAAAGACGTGGCATGTGTTCAGCCCCTAAACATACCTCACGCCACAGGAACATCTGGCCAGATGATCTTTAGAACTGTCAAAATCAGAGCTTTGCGGACGGTTGTCGGAAGAGGGGGGGGGGGAATCAGGCTCAAAATCGTATCAATTCTCGTATAGTGTGCCCAGTATTAAAATGAACGCTGCTGTGGCAACCAAGATGGCTGCAACTGATGTGGAACTTTGTTTAAATAAATTTTCAAATTCTGATAACAAAAATGGCAACACTCGTTCAAAGACACATCAATGCTACGTCATCACAGCTCATCTCTGCACACTGTGGTCTGTTTACATTTATCCGTCGCTTAGCACAGTGTCGAGTTTTGTTGTTTTGATTAGTTGTAGGATTATCCAGTTGCGTCCAGAGGCATTTCTAGGCGTTCTACAGCTGTTGATAACGCCCCTTGAGAGGTTCCGCATTTGCAGTTTGGTCTGGTGATGTCAGGCACACTAAGTCATGTACACCTTCCTCCATCAACGCTTGTTTTTATGCCAATATTCAGTAAATATTTGAAATCTAATTCAAGAATTTAATGTTTTATGATGAAGATATGAGGATGCATGTAAACGTGTCGTGTCAGGTGGAAACCTCACGACTCCATTTGAGGTGATGTTTTTCAGATCAGTTGAAGGATCACATGGTGTACCTTCAACCTGACAGGCTTATAAAACCTCTTTTAACCACATTACTGATACATGCTTTGTAATTAGGCTCTGTACAGGCTGTTCTTTTTTCTTTAACTTATAAAATTGTGAGATTTTTGCAGGATTGTTGAAGCTGGTATGAGAAGCACTCAGTGGTACTGTCTTCAATATAGAGAAGTGTTTGCTTCATAACCTCTTAATTAAAACCTATGGTAGCTTTGGCAGGTTTGTGAACTTGGACTGCTGACAATGGCATCTACCTTGCATACAGAAACTAAGAAGTATATACTTTACAGTGCATATTTTTCACAGCGTGTTGAGCGCATAGGTGGACTTTCATACAAGTTTTCAAGTATGAACATAGTTTTGTGGATTTTCAATAAAGCGAGCGATGGTGAAGGTTATGGTATATCATTTTTCTCCACCTCTATCTCTACTTAGCCCTTCCACCGCACATGGAATCTCATCTTATCCTTTCATCACAGATGAAGCGTAAAGTTCATGTTTTTGTATTTCCCTGAGGCACATTGAGGTTTATTTTCCCTTTTCTTCTCCTCCTCACAACTGAAGATCAAAAGCATTTAAACATCCTGCTGTCAGCCAGAATGAATCCCAACAAAAAAAAAAAAAAAAAAAGATGTAAACTGTCCTTGGATGCTGTCATCTAAATGTAAATCTCAATGTCACGTCAGAAATGTATACTCTTAATTCATGTGAGATTCAATGCTGCTGGAGCCACGGCGGCCCTGATGGTCACTATAGAGGTTTTTACTTCAACCACAACGAGACGATGAGTGTGTACTCCGACAGTTTCACAAGCCTCTCTGCTAACAACTGAGATTTAGTCTCCAACGTGTGGTGACATTTGATGGACGTTGACTCACACATTTCATTAGCTCACACTACATGTGTACAGGTATTATCCATGCACTGAATATTAATACTTATGAATGAACTGTACTGTACTACTAATTAGAACCATTACTGTACTAATGATTCCCTTTTGTAAAGAGGACTCTGCAACAGTGTTGATGTTTTAGATGAGACTGTGTAAGGAACAGTTTATGCAATTTATTTTCCTGTGGTGTTAAAAAGAAGTTTATTACAAATGAGATCTTATGGTTTTTTTAGATTTGGCCATCAGTTATTACAACACGTAAATTATATGTTAATTGCTGAGATTTGGGAACATGGTGACATCACTAAAAAGACGTCTGGCCGGAGAAGAAACATAAACAATCACATGATCCGGCAGGTTTTTAACAACAACTCGGGATAGCTCTTGGAAAGGAACAACAGGAAACATTACTTTTATTATTATATTTATGACTGACCACACCGTTCAGTTTTCCTGTGCAATGAGGCACCTTTAGACCTAGTCCACACAAACATGGGTATGTCTGAAAACGTAGCTTTCTCTATATGTTTTGGCCGTTCGTCCACACGCAAACTGCACTGTCGGTCACTGAAAAATGATCTTTTGTAAAACTGCCCTGGGTTCAGATGTTCAGAAACTCTGGTGCGCCCACCAGCTCACCTGGTAGAGCAGGCACCCATGTATAAAGCTTGTGTCCTTGCCACAGCAGCCAAGGGTTCGATTCCAACCAGCGGTCCTTTGCTGCGTATCATCCACCTTTCTCTCTACCCCTTTCATGCTATAGCTGTCCAATCAAACAAAGGCAAAAAGCCCCAAAAACATCTTCAGTTTTTAGCTTCTAACGTCAGAGTGTGGGTCGAAATCTCCTTTGTGAGATGTCACAAATGAGGCAATGTTTCGTGCAATGGTGGTCATGGCCAGACTAGTGCTATTTACATGTTTACACCTTAATGTGTAGTCACTCTTTTGCTTTATTGAAGAATGGAGACTTCAGAACGCACTACGGTGTTGACTGCCTCAGGTTTCTGATTGGCCAACATCGTTGTCTTCTTTGCGCAGCTCTAGGGCCCTGACGCACCCAGCTGTTGGTTGGCCATTGGTCAATCTCGAGCTGTCACTGAGCATCTGTTGCCCAGTTTCAGCTCTTGTCTGCTTTTTTATGGCTGATTCAGTATGTTGAATCGGCGGTGGATCCCATCGGTGACAGAAATCACTCTGATTAGCAATTCAGCTCCGTGTACATGAAGGGAAACAGAAGACTAAATTCAAGAGGGCGTGAGATCCAAACAAAATTATTATGTTGGATACGCTTCTGTTTTTAGCCATCAAGCTCGTTAGCAGAAATGTGTTTGCTAGCGCATGGCAAATATTCCTTGTCCTTTCAACATCAGGTTGGTTTGTTAATGTGCTAACTGGCTAACTAGCATCTTGAATCCTTCCTGTCCATCTTCTGGTTTCCTTTTTTGAATGAGAAATACAGTCTACTGCCACCTGCTGGTATAGACAGTTATTACCTCTCATGCAGGCACAGAACTTATGCGGTAGTTGGCCGTTGGCTGTAGTCATTACGGTGTGTTCAAGTGTGCCAAGACACAGGTGACGTGACGCGACATTATCAGTCGGCCTTTGTTGCTACTAGTTCTTTGATGTTGGTCTGGTGTGTTCAGGCCTTTAGGTTCAGGCTCACATCGCCACCTGTTGGTTGGCTTGCTCTTGGCAGCGCTTCATTTTCATATGAACGGTGATTTTTTAATGATAGTGTGTGATCGTGTGGACAAAAAAAAAAAAATCCCGTAACAGTGTGGACTAGGCCTCAGTTTTACAACCTGTGTGATCATCTGTTCTTTTCTTGACCTGTCAGACTTTGTTGCAATGCAATAAAATGATGGCCAAACCTACTAAAGTAAAGGTACAAGAGACGAGTAATAAACCAGATTTATCCTTTAAAGCAAAAGTATTACTCTTAATGCCGTCACAGGCGTGTGGAAACAGTGCTCATTTCCCTTTGGTACAATATTTGAATGTTACATGTCTAAACGTTGTTTAACAGGCTTATGCTAAATTAAAAACATGTTTAAACTTGATTCTGATGTTTTTCATGTGACTGATTCAGAAAGATGTTGGTTGATGTTGTCGAAGCGACAATAGTTTAGGTTTTAGAGATGTGCTGTATATCTGCAGCATTATTATGCTAATGTTGTAGCACTTTTGCTGCTTCTCTATGACTCAGCAACAGAAAATCCTGTCTTTGATGTATTTGGATTATCTTCTCACTTTTATGGTGTTTGGTTATTCAAATGACAAAAAGCTCACCTCAACAATGCTGCGGAGGCCGGTGCTTTAAGGAAACAACGCAAATGTTTTTGTTGAGCAAAAGTAAAAATACAGGGACTAAATAATTTAGGAAAAAAAAAGACTATTGATTTCAAATGTGTTCAAGAAAGAAATGAACATATAAACAAGCAGACAAAAGAAAGTATTTACAAATAATGAAAAGCAATTGTCAGTTTATAGTAAGTTTGATTTACACAAGTATAAACTTCTTATATATATACATATATATATATATATCTACCAATATATACATGTGTGTACACCCACATACCCATAAATGTTAGTGTTAATTTTGTTCCATCTCTAATACACGACCTTCAAGACGTCCCACCATGGGTCACATACCATTTTATTTGTTTCTTGTTGCTCAAATTTTACGTCTAAAGTCCAGTTCAGACCAAAGATTCATGACGAGACGAGTTGAAGCAGGCAACGTCTTGCAACGTCTCACTGTTTTGCAACGTTCTAAAAACCTGCCGGTTCACACCAATGCAACTAGATGAGATGGTGTATCATCTCTATACAACAACTCTCTGTACCTTCGCTCTGATTTCCAGCTTTTCAGGCTTATTTTGTGGCTGAATATAATTAGTAGCTCCTTAAAATATGAATGAGGATAGTGATAGTGAGATACTGGCTACAGCTGCATTTGTAGTAGTGATGAAACGGTGAAAAACCAAAACAAAACGAGCATCAGATGGACTGTATTCATAATAAATACACCAAAATAATGTAAATAACCAGCACCAATCAGTCAGTGAGAATATGTGTGTGTCATTGTGACTTGACCAGCGGACTTCACTACAAGCTTACTGGCTGTTGAAACAGGTGACAGTCAGTTCCCACCTCTGCAACGTTCTAAAACGGTTTTGTGTCATCGCAAATCTTTGGTCTGAACTGGGCTTAAAGGAACATCAATTTAATGAACTGATTACATGTGACAAACAAAGGATTTACCCTCTTTGTTAAGCTAAAAACAGAATTAGGGAATAAAGTAGTTTAGATTTCCTTAAATTGACATTTCTTTTCAATTATAGGCAAAGTGCAGTTTCTCTGAGTGAGTCAAACTTCTTAGTTAAATGATCACCATTGAGACTTGGCTTTATGCCTCTTCACCTTCATCTTAGGTGGAGTGCCAGCGGCTTATGTCGTCGCTGGCACACTACACTTCAGGGAGACAAGCGGGATTGTTACGAGTGAGCTCAAACTGCAGGTGAAAACACACTGGGGAACCCCTGCCATCCTCCTCCTCCTCCACCCCTCTCCCCTCTTTACTCTCTCTGCTCGTCTTTATCTCTCCCCCTCTCCCTGGCTGTGTTTCTTCATCCTGCCACTCTTTCAACACGTGTCAAAGAAGTCCGCACGGAATACAGATCCTCTATCCATCATAGGAGGAAATGAAGCGGTGTGCTATTTCCTCATGACCAGTCACCAGGTCAACGTGTGCTGTTGCCCTTTGACCTTCAAGTTACATTAATAGCCTCCTCCTTCTCCGAACTCCACATGGAGCAGTCAGGCCATATAAAGGCCCCCCTTTGGTGCTGACAATGTCAGATGAAGTGTCGCAGGGCGGGTGGAGCGAGCCACACATCCACTGAAATCAGCCTCAGTAGCAGCCTGCAGGAAATTAGCAGGAAAGGTCGATGCTGGAGGAAACCACAGATGATGGGCTGAATCAGTCAGACTGAGGTTCATGTGTGTGTTTAGCAACATTTAGATAATTACTGATCACAATCGGCTGAATCCTTCAAACATACTGGAGCTTCATGTAAATCAACTTAAAGCTGCATATGAAAAGAACAGATGTTTGTTTTCCTAATTAAAGTGCCCCTACAGACATGTTTTAGACTCGTACTGTCATTTAATTTAACACAGTGTTTCCACATAATAGCTGAAAAAATCTGAAAAGGGTCAGGAAGGAGATCTACTCATTAAAAAATTCTGAGGTTTCTCTTTCCGCTCTGGTCACCAGTCTAGTGCTGGCATGGTGCTACAAGGGCCGGACCGATGACTGGTTGACTAGTGAAAGAGCAGTGTGCATGAAGATCGCTGGCGTTATCGTTAGATGAAACATCAGAGAGATTCAGCCACACGTGTTCGAGCCTCAGTTAGTGTTCACCAACGAATCGTTCAAAAGAATGAATCTGTTGAGTGAACGTTCTGAACTGAATCACTTCCGGAACTGATTCATTCATTTCTCAGTTCAGTTGAGCTCAGCAGCGAGCGTGCAGGCCGGGAGTGGAACTGCCGATTCGGTCCGTGTGAACGATGAATCACTCACAAGTCATGAGGCAGCCAGGGTGCAGGGAGGGACTGCCTGCCGCGTGACGAATCACTCAGTGATTGACATAACCCCGATCCCTGAGTGATTCAAATCATTTCTTCTCAGCGATACACTTTCATAGGGACCATTTTCTCCAAGCTAACGGCTAATGTAGCCAGGAGTCAAGCCACATAAACACGATCACACACCTCCCCATTGTTTTAACAGACTTAGTTTCCAGATAAACAAACTTAAAACATGAGGCTGGCAGCAGTAATGAGACTCACCAGTGCAGGGCAGACGCAGCAGCAGCAGCTCAGCCGTTATCAGGTCAGGGAGTCAGACTATGCAGCACACAGTCAGGGCTCCTCCCGCCAAGCACTGAACGATTCGGTGAACGAATCTTTTGAACAAATATTTTTAATGAACTGATTCTATTGATTCAGTAACATCTAAAGAACTGCTTTGCCCATCACTAGCCTCAGTCATACTCAGATGAGGAGTCTGTTGCGCACCAAATTCGGCAATGATCGGTTTCATTCCCAACTAGGGAAGATTAGATTCCTAGTGCAGGGCAGACTAAACCATTTTGCACCTTGAAGGAGTAAGAGGAGCCTCAGAGAGCTGCCACTACTTTTTTATACAAAATTCAGTTTTTCAACCAAATTATTAAGCCAGTTTTAATTTCGTTATGGCACTAATTACTTAGATATTAAAAAATTGCAAGCAAAACCAAACTTTTTATTTCAGGCGATTTTTATTTCACAGACAAAGCACTTTTCTTTTGCTGGACATATTTTACCCACAAATACTACAACATGCTAATGTTTTTAGCACAAGCCTATGGCAATTTGTATAAATTAGCCTAGCGGCTGGAGGACTTTTCATTTACTCGTATAAAACCACGGACAATATTTAACAAAGGCAGGGGCGGACTGGGACTAAAAAACAGCCCTGGACTTTGACTCGGCCCAGCCCACAACAACCGGTGCGTGGAAACTCATCAGCCCCAGACACGGGTGTCAAAATACTTAAATCTTAACACATGATACTATACCTTCCAAATTATAGCAATAGCACCGATGTTGAATAGATGTTGTGTTAAGAGCATACTGAGAAATAAACGACACAGTCCAGATGTCTCTCTGCTGAACAATACAATGCAGACTGCCTGAAACACACAACAAGACATAGTATGAGTTATGATAAATCACAGTGTAAAGAGGCTGTAATTATACAGTTTAACTTGAATACATATGCACCTGCTGCACACAGCTGCTCGATTTGCATGACGTATGCGCTTCCTTCTTCTTCATTTTGATTGGCGGCCGACCGGCTCATAGATATCTATGGGCCGGCCGGCATCCAATTTAAAGGCTTCCACCTAGCGGAGAGAAAAAGGAAAGAAAAAAAAAACAAAATAAAAATAAAAACGGCGATGACTGAGTGGCGGCCTCCGGTCGTCCTGGAGTACCGGCTGTTCTGTGATTATTCAGAACCTCCAGATGGCCAGTCCGCCCCTGAACAAAGGTAGCGATACAAAATTCGGTTTCATTTCAGCTCACAAGGTACAGCGTTGATTTGATGCAGAAGTTGAACTCCAGCTTCCTCCCACAGTCCAAAGACATGCATGTTAATTGGTGACTCTAAATTGTCCGTAGGTGTGAATGTGAGTGTGAATGGTTGTCTGTCTCTATGTGTCAGCCCTGTGATAGTCTGGTGACCTGTCCAGGGTGTACCCTGCCTCTCACCCAATGTCAGCTGGGATAGGCTCCGCCCCCCCACGACCTATCATTTTTTTGATTGGTTTATATTTTTTTAGTTTAAAATTTAAATGCATGCTGTCCACCTGAGTGGACATGTGAAAAACTCCTTGCATGGAAAATGCATGTTTAAAAAAATGAACTTCCTAATTTTTTTCATGCCTAAAGAAGAATAAAAACACTTGGCTGAGGTTGTAATAATTCACATGTGAAAGGGTTAAATGTTGTGATGTCTCCTCCAGTCATTCAGTGCGATGTGCACAATACAAACAATGGGCATCAGTAAAAAGATTCCATTAATATGCCTCCTCGTCCTCTGTGGATGTGTATAATCTAGGCTTTGTTTACTTGTACTCTTTTCAGTTTTGCTGCAAGCTCTCATTTACTCAAACTTTTTGGCTCATAGATGTTATCCAGGGAGCGCCCAATACGCAAACCAGCATCCAGCAACACAGTAAGGATCACACTACTACAGGAAGCTCCTGAAAGGCTCCATCAAACTCCAGAGCTGGGTGTGTAACACTGATCTGATGAAGCAGAGCTGAACTGCGCCCTGCGCCTGGGTCAGCATTAGAACACATCCTCGCCTAGAAGCAGACAAAACGAGAGGCCAAAATGCTGTGCAAGCATTTTAACTGTCAGGACTCAAACAGTATGGAGCATAAATATGTGAGCTTTTTCTGGTGGGACTTCAGCAAAACCCCTTTTTCTAAACCTTTCTATA